AATGAGAGCGAGGAACGCCTGCTGATTTTCATGACTTTTACACCAACGGATTAAGCTCAAATTTAAACATTTTGAGCTGGTGTAAAAATCACGATGTTGACCAGGCGTTCCTCGCCCTTTTGATTCCGAATTTTTTTATGTGTGATAAGGTAAGAAAAAGAAAGTTTTTAGTTTGATAGGGGTTAAGAGAAGTTGAAAAAATAGTTCTTTGARGTTTTCATAAACAAGGATGTTTTAAAATAAAGCGAAGGCGTGTCTGTTGCATTTTTATCTCTTTAATCAAATATACGACTATATATGGATCGTTATTTTTTATGTACCTTTATGAATGTTAATTTTTTATGAATTACTATATCACACTTATTGTAATTTTATTTATATTTCTGATGAAGTCAAAGTAAGTGAGAGAACACAAAAAATCATGTCTTAAGGCTGGTTTAGACGGTACAATTTTCGCCTACAGCTATCGTATACAACACGCTTGCGTCATTCTACAACTCGAGTCGTAGCGTGTAAATCAAGCCTACAACTCGCCTACGACAGAGGCGAGCGTGTTGTATACGAGAGTTGTAGGCGAAAATCGTACCGTCTAAACCGGCCTTTAGAGTGACCACAGTAAATCCGTGAAACACTAATTACTAATTAATATGAAGCTAGTCAACTTCGTTTAGAATTAGGTGTAATATTTGGAGCCACTGATCCATGTGAAAGAAGTCTTTAGAAGTGCTTAGAACCACTTCAACTTGACCAATAATTTTCAAGCTGCCAGTCAATGGACCAATCACATTGAAGTTTCAGGATTATCAACCAATGGCACTGAAGTGGCAAGTAGAAATGGCAGATAAGGATATAAGTCCATAAAGCAACAGGCACACAACAAGTTAATAAACCAATTACAACCAAGGGGTTGGTCGAACCAATCAAAGTCAAGCCGCAAGCTAATTGACCAATCACATCCAAGGAGCCCACCCCATGTAGGTTCTTCCAAGAATATTGGAATTAGCTAGGCGCTGAACCAATCATAGTCAAGCAGCAATCCAATAGACAAATCACATCCAAGGTTCCCATCCATGGTAAGTTCTTCCGAGAATATTTGAATCAGTTGCTTGATCGATGAGACAGTCAACTTGATCCTCCACAGGCAACCCAACCTCAGGCTTCTTAGCTCGTATGTTGACGTTTGGATCACCGATACAGACAGTCTCCATGGCGTCTATCCATTTCCTGTTCTTATGGCCCAACCTTATTTCATTCCTGTTGGAAAAATAAGCTTAGGTTGTAATTTTCAAGAATTGGAATTTTCTTATGGAATTTGATTTTTTCAAAGAATGCGGGCATCAGTGACTACACGATGATGACAATGACTGATGAAAATGGTTATGTCGATCATAATGGTGTTTATGATGATGATGACAGTGATGATGATGACTGATGATAATGATGATGGTGATGTTGATAATGGGGATGATGATGATGATGACTGATGATAATGATGATGGTGTTGTTGACAATGGGGATGATGATGATGNTTATTATTATTATTATTATTATTATTATTATTATTATTCTTTTTGTTGCCATTATTCTAAAAAAATGAGAATGCCATTTAGCAGTTATGAGATGAATATAGATGGAAAAATCATTCTATTTTACCTCTTGAAGGATTTTGTGTTTTCCAGCTCTGTTCTCATGGGTTCCCTGTGGTATGATACATAACATTTGGGAACCAAATATTTTAAAATGGAAATCCTATAATGTGTCATCAACATTATCTTTTCATTGTAACCTTAACCCTTATGACCTCTTTACCTTTGACGTAAAGTTTCCCCATTTCAGACCATGTATCATTCCCTTGTTTAACGGTTGCACACTAAGACATGAAGACACATGAATATGGATACAACTCAAGCAAAGAATCTTAATCTCATTAGAGAATGACACGTGGTATGATATGAGAAAAGTGGAAGCTAAGTGTCTACTTGGAAGCATGCATGTCTCAATACATTGATTTTATCTTAACTTATTGATTTGAGTATGCATTACATGCATTTCCTTTTCAATTTGGAAAACAAATCCTGCTTGGTTTAAAAAATTTTCCATAGCAATGTATCAAAAGTTAAGAAAAATAATAATATTTTAAGGAAAGACTTGAAAGACATGCCCATGTATACTCTTCTAACTGCTAGTTCATAAATTGAACCTTGAAACAACTTCTTGGCTGATCTAACTCAGGGCATGCTAACTCAAAGCAATTGAACCATGAAACAACCTCTAGGCTGAGGTAAGTCAGGACACGGCTAACTCACAGAATGAACCCTGAAACAACCTCTGTGCTCATGTAAGTCAGGGCATGCTAACTCACAGATCTACTCCTGAAATGACCTCTGGGCTGATGTACGTCAGGGCACGGCTAAATCACAGATCAAACCCTGAAACAATGTAGCCTCTGTACTGGACTGCTAAAGGTGAGGAGCAATTGCATTATCTATGACCAAGATTCATACATCTCTTAAGCTCCACTTTGACCATATATATCTTAGTGGTACAATAAACTGTTGCTGTTGTTACAATAATTGAGCTGTTGAACAGTGATTTTTTACGCCACGTATCTTTTCCCTTTTAAAAGATTTTTAAGCTGTGTATGCAAAGTATTTTTTTAATAGCTGAATTAAAAGGTTTCGATTAAAACTACAACGAGTAAGATTAACGTAAAGTATATCATTAAGTATTATAGTTATTTTAAAACTAGAGATTTAACAGGGGAAAAAACATTTATATTCTATTTTAAAGAATATATAGCAATACGTTTAGTATCGGAGTTTATAAGGAAATTAGTTCTGCTTCTGACTTACCAAATACTCTTAAACGACCATAAGCAACCTTGGTTAGCCTATAATCCATATGTGGTGGTATATTCGATCATAAGGTTTGATGATCAGTTATATTTGAAGATATTTTTAGTAATTTTCTTTAGGTTTTTTTGGGATTCGTTGTTCTGTTATCGAGTTCTTGCTTTATCAAACTTCCCGCTATACCCATCAGCCTTTGCAGGAACTCCACAGGGATCCCATTCCAAAACGTTTTTCAGATGTTTTAAGCTGTGACGTATTTCCGGCCTCCCAAAATCCGCTAAAAGAGCACAGGTAGCCCAAGCTCTGCTTTTGTGAGGATTTTTTTGAGTTGTTTTGAGCCGTTGATTATGACGCGAAATACAAGTCAAAATACGTGTATAAATACGCGTATCAAATACAAGTAAGCTATTGTTTTCAACAATAGAACTTGACACTTTCTGTGACATTAACTGCGCAAGCACAAGAATATGGCCAGGATATAATACTTGTATAATACCGGTATACTACACGTATTTTTGACCGATATTTTGCCCCATATAATAGAGAAGAGCAATCTCGTACCCAGAGCCCACGTTCCTCATGGTCAGCACCAAGAAACGAGAGGCTGTAACCGATTTTCGAATTCAGTTGGCTTTCCGGTCCGTGAATTTCGGGCCGGAAGTTTCAACTGCGCATGCTTTAATAAAAGGTAAGCTGATGTTTGGGTTACCTTTCATCTTCAGGGATTCAAATTGCTTCGAACAAACGGTAATCAATTAACCTTTTTTAGCTTGAATATAGTAGTTAAATTATTTATCCTTTGCCTTCTTAAAGTTTATTTAGTAATTTTTTTCCCCGGGTACTAATTGCTTGCGCTATTTTGTGAGTTTTTAACACGTTGTTTTGTGTTCAAATCATCACGACAAATGCAAGAGCGATCGGCTGCCTGCTTGCCTGCTTGCTTGAAGTCATTGGGCCTAACCGTCATAGTTCTCTACCGACCAAGCCTTCTTCATATACTTCCCTTTTCTGTCTTTTTTACCGGTTAAAAAATTCCCATTCTCAACTCCAAAAATTACCGAGGGTGTGTTTGCATTATACTTGACGCTGCAAAAACGGTTTATTTTGGGAATTTTCTGCTTTGCCTGAAAGATTCCATTAAAAGAGCTTGAAGAGTTCAATATGTTCATAAGCTTGTTGTGTATTGGCAGGTTTCGAGAGTTCCTTTTGCGAGCGGCGTAGATCATCGGCTTGACGACACAATGACACCACATGATCCACTTTAGAAACGTCTCTAGTCGATAAGGAATCTCTACCACTTGAAGTCCATCGACCACCATCAAGATACAGGCTGGGAAAACTTGAATTAAGCTTGTGACGTTTACCAGGAGTGAAGTATAAGCTGATTTCGCATACACGTCCATGGACAGTTTTTGAGCTGTTGAGAGGATTGTCGGTGAAATTCGCTTTTTCTTGCCATAAATGTGTTTGCTGATTTGATGAAAGCTATACACGATGACCAAAAGTGGACAAAAAATAACAAATAAACACATAGAAATAAAATACCCGGACTCTACTCGTGCAACAGGCTTCAAGAACCGCTGTCCACAGATATAAAACCCTGGAAAATAACCAATGAGTACCTTGTCGCTTAGAAACGGTAACCATGGGAACGTAAACAGCATTACTGCTGACCAAATGAAGATGATAGTCCAGATTGCAGATTTTCGTTGAATCATGTAATGGGAAGTTCTGACGACCGAATAATATCGATCAAGAGAAATCAGAGAAAGATTAAAGAGAGTTATTACTGTGAAATACATGTTGAAGAAGCAGTTCACTACACACAAATGGTGGCCAAACACCCAACGATCTTCAACGACTGAAATAATAGCAAATGGAATTACAAGCAGGGTTGCTCCTATATCTGCGAAACTTTGGCTTAGAATAAGAATATTGATAACTGTCAATGTCCTTCTATCGGAGAAGACAAAACGCACGACTAATCCATTGCCAAGCATCGATGAAAAAAATATTATTATCAACGGGATTACCTTCACAAGTTTCTCTGACAATATTGTAATTTCAAGAGGATTAGTTTGCTGATCGCATATATAATTCCTGCATTCACTTCGATTAAAGCTTGAGTTTTCCATCACGCATTTGGGAAGGACTGAACTTGAAATCCAATCAAGTTTTCTTTGATTCTCTTGTGAACGAGCAGCAGTAAGAGGGACTCGCGATCGATGCCAAAGATTTAGGGGTTTAACCCGCGGAATTGCGAAGATGGGTACAGCAGATTTACGGGTATTTTACCAAGACCTAAAGTTATTTTGGTATCGCAAACGGAGGTTAAAATATTCCTTAGATATACATGGCCACCATCAACGACATTCAAAACAAGACTGTGCGCAAGCTCGGAAATCAGGTGATAGATAACTCAGACGCTGACTTTGTCTTCGCTACATTTATGGAGGGAAAGACAGACAAAACCATGAATTACAAAATGGCTGAAAAGATAATCAACAGAATGCCAGCCGGCGATAACCGTTTGGAGTTGACATTCGTAAAGTACTTAGACGGCGAATGGATAATAGAAAAGGGTCGTAATCCTATCAGAGCGTCTGGTAAGCAGAACCTGTTCGTTTTAAACAAGCACACGCGACCGGGAGCATTGGAGGGAATAGACATGTTGTTCTATGAGGTCGCTTACCCGGTTACCGTGGTC